CTAGGAAGGTCTAAATCTCTGGCCAGCCTTCCGGCTTTCAACGCTGCTTCTTTCAGCGGAGCTATCTTCGTCGCACTGTTTCCTCTGGTCAAGGCGAAAGAACTGCAGTCACGACCGCCTTTATCATCACTATCATAGCTTTGCTACTGTTTTATGTGTTCATAATTTTCCCTTATCGGCGTGTTGCTCTGCCTTTCTGGCCTCGTTTCTCGTCTTGAACCGGTTCGCTGTTCGTCTGTCGTTTTGCACTAACTCTCTCTAACACCGTCTCTACCTGAGCTTTTTTTCCTCGAGAATTCTATTCTTCTATGTCGACTGACTTCTTTCATTAGGCGTTCATTGGTCTTCGATTTGTCCACGATTTTGGCTTCCTCATCTAAAACGGCGCTTTCTTCATCACTATTTCCTATCTTAGTTCTCATTGAACCTAAACGGCGGTTGACTGGAGTCTTAGCGAGATAAAAGGTAGGGTGATTGCATTCCAAAGTATTTTCGGGGTGTTGTTCCCTCTCCGTCTTTGATTTTCGACCCGGTGTAAGAGAAGAACGGTGGCGTGCACCAATCGACCCGCTTATAAGCCCGAGTCCTCTTGGCCAGTTCTCTTCGATTCCACCTTTCCGATCTCTCTTCATTTTAATTATAAGCCAGTCAATAACATTTTGTATATCTGCTCTCTTCGCGTCGCTTGATTGCTGCCGCCGCCATTAGTGACGTTTAGGCCCATTCTTTATTTCATAACCAGGCGCTGATCCGCCTCCCCTGCTTTGTAATTTCTGTATCCCAGTCCTTCTCACAGTTTGTTTCTTTTTCATGGTTCTCACGTTTTTTTTTTGGTTCATGCGAATTTTCTCTACGACGAGGTTCTTTCTTGCCCCTACTGCTTTGGTCCTAATCTGAATTCTGCCTTTGCTGCACGGAGTTCGGAAATTAGCCAATCCTATGCCATTCAAAACCGATACCCAGCTTGATAGAGAGATACAATGTCAAGTGTTCAGTAAAATGTGTAACCCTAAGGATGCTGCTTTGAATGCGTTTGAAAAATTATGCAGACTTATGGAATCGTTTCACTTTTTAAATATCCTGCAAATAGAAAAATCATGTGTTAGAAATCGCAGACTCGTCTATTCAGCAGAAAATCGAGATAACTCTTGTCCGCATCGGTGTTCTTAGGGCCGTCCGGCGGTCAGGCAGAATCTTAGCTCAAGTGGCCGCTCGTTACGAACGTCCATCCTGACCCTAGGAGCGGTACAGCTACTGCATCGTGGACATAAAAGCTTTTTGATCTTTTTTTTCATTTCTTCTTCTTCTTCTGCATCTGTCGGTCCGATTCTAAAATCGATGAAAACAAAGTGCAAGACCAATATATTCTCGCTTGCACGGAACGCGTACTTAATCCCCTCTGTAGGTCCTTTTAGGGGGGCAAAGCAAATACAATAGAATAAGCCGAAGAGAGAAGAAAATTGTGTGCACCACGGTTTCTTCGTCGATATTGTTGTGACTGATGTTAGTGGACGTTAGGTATTTGATTACCACTGGCTATCGTTGGGCATAAGCCAGGATCGTATTGAGACACAACAAACCACCGTAGAGCCTTTGCACCATGTCCGAAGGCACGTTCGAACCCTACCTGTTCTTGCCGGCTTTGGTTCTTTGTTTGTCGTCGTAAAAAACCAGCCTTAGTATTCTGATTTTTGTCGTTTGTGCTAACTTACCTGTGAGCGTCCTAGTACGTGTTCCTGCCAGCCTGTTGTATCCTTCTCGTTCATTATTTGCTGCTTTGGCGTTTGATTTTCTATTGTTTTCCAGAGCACCACTTTCTAAAACGATGCCCCATATTTAGTAATTGCCTTCGAAAAATTCTTCCTATTGCGCTGAATTATGTCTCTTGTTCTAACTTGCACATTTATTTTGTGTAAATGACATCAGGAAGTCCTTGTCGGTGCACGCAGCTGAGACATCCGGGTAGCTATTGCTGCTGAGGAATTGCCCCGCTAATTTATGAAGGGATGCAGGCAGCAAGTGTAAAGCATATAAAAACTCCATTATCATTAAATGATGACTATCACGTGCTATAACATACGAGAAAAAATTTTGCCATGCAAATTGAACGTCAATGGTTATAGTGGCTTAATGCTTGGCATATCACTTATATGACGACAACCCCCCATTAAGACTTAATTAGATTTCCTTTTATTTAATGGGGTCTATACAGTCGAGACAACAAAATATAAGCCAACCAGAGAACTGTAAGCATCGTGCTTCTACAGCTTCACATGCACTTCAGATCAGATCAAAGCTACCATTGAAACATTTACGAAAACCGAGGGCAACGAACCCAAGTTTTTTAAATTTTTTAGAGAGATACACCGGATCTTTTCCAAAGGAAAAACGAAGGAAACCTTTAGGGGCACCAAATCGGGGCAACTATTTTCTCATTCTTCCCTTGATTTGTCGCTTAAAGACTTGGTGTCCGATTAAAGGCTAAAGCTACTCAAGGGGGATGGCAGTAGGTGCAGCCACTTTGAATTACATTATTAGCCAACTAACCCCTTTACTATTTCGATGACAATCGAGCGACAATCCTCCACACTGGCATGGCTTATGCATTCAAAAAAACACTGCTTATTCGGGCATTGAGGCGTACTATCAGGACAAAATGAGGCCTGCTTCCGCGACAGTAGCATCGAAATGTGATTTGACGGAAATTTGAAATTCGTTGAAGACTATTGCTATGACCTTCAATTACAGCTTCCGCACGAATATAGATTCTTCAAACACTAAATATTAATATTGCGTTTCCTACAGCCGCCAAAGCTACCCTATGTATTATCGAGTGCCGCCCCCTCAAAATGGCTTTGATATTTTAACGCTTTCGCCTTTCGTGTGGCGTATTTCCGCTTCTTTGCAGACGATACGCTCATTTTTCTGCTTCTGTTTCCCATCGACGCTCCGAATCACCCGAGATAGCGTTGCTAGGAACGCAGTTCCAATACCGACAATTTTATCAGCACCTCAGTGTTGACAGATACCCGTACAGCTTCAGTCGAAAAGAAAAATCGCGGCGAGTCGCAAGAATTCAAAAATTGGCGCCTACACGATATTGCTGCTAAGGTCGGGTTAGTGATGCAAAGAAAATATTCTTTCATCGCGAGACTTCTATGCATCGTCGCGTGTACTTTCCCAATCGCTTTCTCAGACGTGATCGTTTTATATAGTAGTTTACATACTGATAAGGCCAGTAAATTGGTGAAATCTAATCAAAAAAAGAACACAGTTAATTGGTAGCGATAAAAAAAATCAGTAATTTATCCGTTTTTCCTCTCACTCTTCAGTCATCTTTGCGTGAGCGGTAACATTGTTTTCAGTATAGAGCAAGCAAACCGCATGGTAAACATACTAGATGTTGTCGGGCATCATAGGTAACGTTTTTGCTTACTAAACTTGAGAAATACGTGATGGCTTAAGCTCGAAACCAGGCGTAAAGTCACTTCGTTTTGTGATGAGAGCCAGCTATATGATGGAATATATAATGGCAGTGCCGATCGTAAAACTTAAAACATTATCTTTATCCGTCCATTTTTTTTCTTTATAGACATAATCCCTGGTATTTTATAGTCATTTGTCTTAATAATTTCGCCACCGCTATGACTTGAACTAGCGGCTGTCGTATTTCTACTCGTCAGAGTTACCTTGAAAATGTCGTTGGAGAGCTGTACGTTAGCCACCCAAATTACTTCGCCCCTAATAATCAGCTTGCGGATATGATTTCTATCACATGGTTAGGGGGACTATTTACATCATTAATGAATATTAAGTTAGACGTACAATATAACTGACTTAACTGCTATTCCGGTTAGATTCCAATAAGTTTAACTACAAATACACCGTTTTCAATGAATGAAGAATGTGCAAAACCAATTATAGGAAAACACTAATCACCAATGCTGATAACAGCGCGCGTGCTGTACAGACGCGCTGATATGGAGTGTTTCTCCAATGGCTATACTATCGTGCCACTGGCGTTGTTGGTAGAGATGGAGCTCGATTTTACCTATTACTCACGGATGTAGAAAACAGGAGACCTAACCCGTCGCTTTTGCAGTCGATGCTACTCAATATCCTTTTTAATCCCTAACGCTTGAACTCCTATATTTGATGACGTCATTTGACTGTTGAATTGGCCGAATTGCTATTATGAGGCTGGGAACGCTAATCCCGTAAGCGTGCGTCAAAAAGCCTTCATTATCTTGTTGATAAAGTATGTACCTGTGTGCATTCTACAATTCACGAACCATGGCGGACCTGCCGCGTGATCCTCTACGTTTCGAACTTTACATCCGATATCGCAATTTGACAGCCCTTCAAATGATTGGCCCTCAGTACAAACCTAGACCACAACATGCTCCTAAGCTTAGCAAAGAAATACGTTACCTGCTAAGCTATCGACGAAGGCGACGCGGCTCCAGTGGGAAACGATGGTTAGATCGAATATATGTTGAAAATAGTTGCGCAATCGTACATGAATGTTTGATATACGCCCCTTTATAAGTTACATAAAGTGTGCCATACCCATCCCCGTATTATCAAATCGATAAAGTGCAAAGATATTGTCTTCGTTGTCTAACCGAGACAAAGCTCGAGATCGAACAGCGTTAAAGGATTTTATAACTCCAAATGCAATTGTAATGTTTTGTAACGCAGGGTCGTGCAGACAGAAGGAACCACATTTGAGAAAAATTGTTTTGATTGGCCACTCACTAGGGTCTGTCGATGGCCGGAGATTAGACTTTGAATAGGGCTAGAATGCGGGCAACATCCACTTCCTTTTCGGACCTGGCAAAAAGCCTACTTAAAACTTTCTAAAACCCTGTCCCGCCCAATGCTGCTGCTGCTACGTATCAAGAAGATGTCGAAAATAGTAAAGGATTCTTGTATTTTTAGAGGTCCCTGTATTACTGCCTTGAGACTAATTATGTTTTCCGCACGATGTGGTCTTTCAGGCGTGTGAACGAGCCGTCGTCATAGGCGTACACAAGAAGATACCGAAAAAATAAAGAAAAATCCTCGATTACTGTCCAGAAAAAAATTTCATGCCATACGAGCACTGCAGGGCCGTTTTCTAGCCTTTATTAGAGAACAGCAACAACAACATATTGGGGTATCGTCCGAGAAAGCTAGCTCCATTGGGCTAGACCAGCAGCCAAAACGCGGGAAAATTGCCATAGCAAGCCAAATACCATAAAGTCTGACATTGCTGCTGCAACCAGCTCGGTGAAAATCCAAGCACGACACAGCATCGACGAGCCTCATCAATTTGTTATTTCTAAGTCTACACCGACACGCCAATTAGCACGTCGTCTTTCTTCTCCTACAAATACATCCTCTTTATGCTGTTCGTGTTATTATTCGATCATTACTGACGCGCACAAAACGCTCTAGCCATACACCGACCAAGTAAATGCAAAAAATTGCATACAGCACGGTTTACCGCTTCAAGTAGAGCAGTCTCTGTGTCCAGTCGCTTGCGTCGCGTTCGGGTCAAAAGCTCATTCATCTAAAAAGACCAGCACGACTGAAATTGGTAGTATCCCCAGTTTTGACGCTGCTATAAAGTGCTTGCTGCCGCGGGTTTACTAGTGGCGACGGCCTGCTACCAAGTGCTGGCTACGGTGGCATCGCGGACGCCAGCTCGGGACGGGGCCGCCTTCGCACGAGGAGGCTGCTCGAGGAGACGAAGGCGACAACGACCACGTCAAGGCAGGCCACGACGAAACGCAAAGAGCGATTAGTCGACTACGGTTTAGCCAATTTTTGTTGATTTCAGCGTCGGTAGTGAGAGGGGCGTTGGTGACAGTGATTGCGTCTAACTTGATCACGAGCCGTACGCCAAGACGGCTTACGCCTTCAGCGGCGGCAATAGGGCCTAACGTGAGAGGCAAACATAGGCCGAACTTACGCGCGCGCCCTAAGCGAAGTTTAAACGTTCTCGTCGCTGTGGTCCGCAAAGCCACGGAACCGAGGACAAAAGTGGCCGTGCCGCTGGTGGAGAAGGCACAGGCCAACGGACATCATCTGGTCGATCTGGCGATAAGATGTGCGGCTGCAGCGCCTGCGGCCGCTTCCCGCTGCTGCGTGCTCCGGAGGGGCTAACATGTGCCCTTGTGCTAGCGATATTTGCCTCCGTCCCAGGAATGTTCCAGTTCGGATATAACATTGGTGTCGTCAACGCGCCGCAAAAAGTGAGTAGGTTGTCTGTATTGGAATCTTAGGAAACTTTCCGTAGTGTAAACTTTATCGTGATTAGGACTTGGATGTTATTGTTATCATCACTGCCATCGCCAGTAAACATGTTTTTTATCGCATTGATCCATAACTTTGAACCGCCGTAACATTATTCTATCTACATAGTTTATGCACAAGCAATAAACCTCGTAAATCATTGCATTAATATCTCACACAGCAACACTGCCATCGTTACATGCAATGGTACAATTGTTGTGTGAAAATGGGTTGGTTTTACGTCTCTTAGCCAATACATATATATATATTGCAATATCTGTAACGAAGTAGCAACAGCGGTCCTGTTGTTTTTCCTGGTGTTATATCGCCAATGAGTGCTAGAGGCAGTTTCTTCTTAATACACCTCTTCAATTCTAAGGTTCGTAGAATTTTTCACTGATTCTTCTTGTCATTATAGTCGCCGTCGTCAAGACTACGTCGCCACTTCTACAATTTAGTTTACTGTTGAACCGCATATATATATAATAAAGCAAAAAAGCTAGTCGTTGCGAGAGTTCTAGCTGAACTTAGGTGACGAGAGTCGTCGCCTCGGAAATTCCTGCATGTTACTTTTTCAGCAGCTCGGCAGTATTGGTTAAAAAAAACTTCGTACCGGGTTGCGCGATTTAGCATGAAAGAAGGCAGAAGGAAGAGCAGGACTTGAATACAAAATTTGCTATGCGGCAACCTCAGTGTATTGTGAACACTAATGTTCGGGGTGGGTCAAAGGCCAGGCTGAGGCTTTTGCCTGCTGAAGAGCGCCCGACGAACTCGATGAGGAGCGGTCGAACCAGAGCGGCTAGAATTGTCGCCGTCAACCAAATCTGTCAGGACACTCGAGCAAAGAACTCCGGAAGGAAACCCATCCACTGAAGGAGGGGAGAAAAGTAAGCTATGAAAGTACCAGACTGATACGATGCGGGAGCTTTCTAGGGGGTCAGAGATACGATGGTATACCAGAAGACGAGTCAGCAGCCAGTTGTTCATCCCACCAAACTCGTTTAACCCTAAATTTCGTCCCTGACTGGAGCACCCTTATGCTTCGTCATGTTCCCGATATGGTACTCATTTCTGACCGCCCTTCACAACAGCAGTTACAAGCCATACTAGTATGGTATTACTGCTGTTGACGTTGCGTCGCGTTGATGATCTTGACACCGACACGGAGCCGAACAACTCGGCAGGCAAAGGAAGCCTTACTTCACCTAAGCGAGTATTTTTTGAAAAGGGTCCGAAGAAAAAAGCCGCTTAGAGCTCTTATTACGCCTACGTAAGATGATCACAAAGAAACGTAAGGATTAATTCGACGATAAAATAGAAAAAGACTTGTGCATTGGAAAGACAGGGGGCGAAGGAGTGCATGAGAAGCGACCCTAAATAAGCCATTGAGGAGCACCAAATGAAATCGTAGCGCGAGATTAGAACGGTATGTGCATAACAATACAGAAACGTGCTTAAACAGTTGATCAGGCGCGACAGACAGATATAGAGCAAGCAATAGACTGTCTTAAACTGAGTATTTGACGTAGGTCATTGGCTGTGTGGACTTAACTTATGTGCTCATTTTGATGTGTTTTCTTTTTAACACAATGACGATGAGTTTAGGAGACGATTGGCCCCAAATATCAATATTCATACACTGTATCGTGTGAAATAAGCGAGTTGAAAAAGTGCATTTTAACTATGTAGAAACAAATTAATTTGGCTGGCAGTTAATCGGGTCCGTCTCCCATTTCCTCATAATTTTTTATTGATTTCGATCTAAATTGCTGCTTAGCAACAGACGAGAGTCTTCACTAGAGTAGTACTTATTCTAAGATGCCTGTTTTGCTGTTTCATATTATTTCAGGTCTTAAAAATATGACGAAAACTATAGGTTTCTTTTGTACATCACAGCGTTTATATATATATATATATATATATATATATATATATATATATATATATATATATATATATCGTTAGATCATCTGCATCTGCTTTGGAAGTTGGTCATGGGATCATTTATGCAAACTAATAGGTAAACAAAGCTGTATTAAAGTCATCGTCCTTTGATGATCTTCCCGCTTTGCGAAGAAGAAAAATTCGAACTTACACAATTACTCTGTTTTGTCTACCATCCATAACCTGTTTGACGGTGCGGTTAAAACATGAACGACCAAAATCGCTCGACACTGAACGCGGGAACAGATTTATAAAGTTGGCGTCCTGTAGCCCCTTGCGGCGACAGGTGCCACGTTAGATAGGCTGTCACTGACTCTGATGCCTTTGTCGCCAGGTCATGCATTCATATATATGAGCTAATTAGTAGTAAGCAAACGGACCGTGCAGAAACACGCAAGAAGGTCAGCGAAAGTGGGGCAGATGCGGCTCGGCATTTCAACAAAGGAATTTCTTCCTCCTGCCCCCTTGGTGCCTTAATGGTTTGTCAGAAGCTGGCCACCAACTGAGGTGCCCGGCATCGACTCACTCCCCATGACCCACTTCATATAGCGTTACGGCATACCATACCACGATGAACTGTGTGTTGGAAGCCAGTTTGGGGATCTTGGTGCTGGTAGCAGGCCATTGCAGCGTCAGGGACTACTAGCCTAACGCTACTGGAAGATCCACAAGCAGCACCTTTTCTCTCCGCCTCTCTCTTTGTTTATCTGGCCCAAATACGCGATTGTATTAACATACACAATCGCGTATTTGTGCTAGGTAACATACACAGTTCTACAAGGAAGCCGAATCGAGCTTAGCGGCATACTGCATCGTACAGCGAACTCCTGGAAATATAGCAGCCACGAGGCTGTTGAAGCTCGTGGTTGCAACGACAAGCCCGTATAGGCAATGTTGAATGGAAAAGATAGCAGAAATAACTGAGAAGGCTCCCAATAGTGAACTAAAACTGCGTAAAATGCATAGCTGCTATGCCAATATCAAAACAGCCTCGTTCAGCAGCTGTTTCGTAGTCGGTCGCTTTTTGCTCGTGGTTCCAGTCAGATCGAAATGCCTGTTTTACTGTATGATAGAGATGGGAGCTTCTGCTATAAGCAGAAAGCAGGAGCAAAAGAGCCCCAAGAAAAGCAGGGGCATTGATTCTGTACACTTCCGTGTGGTGCATGCTATTGTTGCTCGCCATATAGTCCCTAATGTTGCCTAACAAACAATGTTCATTAACGCTCCGTTCTGGCATCAAAAGGGACAGACCGAAAGCGAGAACGATTACACAAAACAGCTAGCTATTTATAATCACCCATTAATTATACTAAATCTAATAAATTTTGCAATAGGAACCGTAAGCAGTAGAGGTATTGATGCTGTGTACTTTAATCATTCTTTATATTACCCGCAGCATTGTTACCCCCCAAATTACGCAGATCCCAAGAATAGTAGCAAGAATTGTGTGAACCATTGGCCTTACCCGATTTACGCGTCAGTTTTATGAATTTCAGCTAAGTAGTGGTTTCATTTTGTATCCACTAGTAGAAACGCTTTAAATCGATTTTTGTACCGGGTACTGATGAATAATATGCAAGCTAAACGAAACAATCTATACACGCACGTCTCAAAATTGGCCTGACTTGGTAATTCATTCCTTACAAAGGTAGACTTCTGTATGCTATATGCTCTCGATAGAGTGATCCAATTTTCGTTTATTTACATAGTAGCGCAGACGCCCTACGATAGAAAGAATTGTTTTTAGCATGCCCAGCTTACCAAAGCCCGCACAGGTCAGTCAGTCAGTCTTTGAATTCTTTTGCATTTTTTCTGTGTGCTGTTTTGATGGCGAAAAAAGCTGAGGTGTTTCCTCAGCCGCTTCAAAAAGACGCAGTGGTGCCTAAGAGTTGTAGTCATTGGAGGCCGCTGGCAATGTTGGACCAGGGAAAGGACAGTGATGTATGGAAAGCGCTTAAGAGATGCTAGGCAAATTGAAATTTTTGACAGAGTTATCGCCGGACTCGCACTGTTCGAGAAAATCACTCACTGACTACTACGATTGTAGAAACGAATTCAACGTAAAGCATGGTACCGGAAGCTGGGAATCTCCCGAAAGTTACCGTGGCGCCGACTCGACAATCATAGCTCGGGCTGGTCTTTCTATCGCAATAGCCTCTTAGGCTTACATTCACCTCTCTATTATGTTTGCTGTATTTACGGCCAATTGAATATTTCCCATCGCTTTCAGCGCATGCAGTGTCTAAGTACCAGTTCACGCAACGCGGGTGGGTGGCTGGCTGCTTTGATCAATGCCTGTTGCCAGACCAACAAGAGCTGGATATTTTGCAGCTCCTCGCGAACTTCCGAATCGTCAGGTCTCATGCTGTCCGCCTACTCTACGACTAAGTCGCAAAACTCGTAGAACTTCCCGGCCGAGATCACGCGCGTTCATTCTTCGCCAGTGCCTTCCCTTCTTCCTAATCTTTAACAGCAGGACAGCGCATGACCGACGTTCCATTATTAAGTGTATATGATTAATTGTCACCATGACCTCTCGCTCACATGCACAATCTCTTTCCTTCTCTCTTGTGAGAGCTCCTTCCATTTTACATCAACGTCTCATCGTTTCCACAATCGGTTGCAGTCTCATTTCCTCCTGCATAGAAGGCATTACTACCTGCAAACTGCTTCGCCAGTAGACAGTAAATATGGCTACTACTGCATAGAATGACTCCTAGATGACTTTGCACTAATCTGGCCTTCCATTGTGCTCGTCCGCCATGGCCACGACAAGCATCATGGTGCTGGGAGTGGTGTCAGTGGGGATGGTACGGTTAGGAACCTCAACTTGGCCCCCGCTGTGTTCCGCTTCGAAAAGAGATTCCGAGAAGCGGTGTCGGTGAGAGCATAGGCAGGCTTTTCCCTGAATGATGTAAATCCATCAAAGGTAAAAGAGTCGTCAGACAGAACTGACCCGTTCGAGGCGGAAAAGCCTCGTTTCAGTGTCTTACATAAGCCTACGTGTCCATATTTG